CTTCAATTTGAATCTTAATTTGGATCTTCTGGTTAGTTTGGCCCTCCATTTCTTAAGTTTTTCGAGACAGAGTTTCTCCGCCCAGCTCTTTTTGATTTTTTAAAAATCTGACCTTTGACTGGGTGTAGGGTACTGAAATCAATCATCATTATTGTATCTGTCCCCTCATGTCCAGAATTGTTTTATGAAGTTGGATGCACCAATGTTCAGTGTAAAGATTACAATTACCATATTTTCTGGTGTTCTTTATTACTGTGTGGTGACTTTACCACTTCCAATTAATTCTGGCTTACAATATATTTTGTCCAATAGAAGCACAGTTACACCTGCCTGTTCTCAGCTCCTGCATACTCGGTGAGTCATTTTCTATTCCTTCTTTCAGTATCTCTGTGTGTGTCTTCGCCAGTGAGGCTTGCTTTTGACAACAACCAGTTGGATCTTGTTTTTGTCCCATCAGCTAGCCTGCCTCTGGAACTGGAGAGCTGACCATTTACCTACGGTTTCTTACAGTAGCCAATGAGGGCTACCTGCTGAATTCTGTGATCTTGTGAATTGTTTACCTAATACTGCTTATTCTTTTCTTTCTCTCCTTTCCGTATTAGCGGCTTGCTGATTTGGGCATGTCTGATTCTTTCCTCGTTCACCTTTGTAAGAATTCCCTTGATGAAATTGATTTTTTCCTGAGCTTTTGTGTTTGTGATTCTCATCTTCCTGTGCATCTGCACTGTTGGCCTGGACAGACACTGTTTTAGTTCGTGCTTTTCCTGGAAGATTTTTTTTTTTTAATTTTAGAATTGTTTCTTGTGATTGAATGTGTGCATGTATGTGTGTGTGTGTAATGCATGTCCACATGTGCACAGATGTCTACATGTGAGGTGTGTATGTGAACACGCATGTGGAGGCCCGAGGTTGACACTGAGCATCTCCCTCAATCTCTCCACTTTAATTATTGTGTAGGGTCTCTTGCAAAATCCAGAGCTGGCTAATTTGGCTATCTAGTATCTGCTTCCCATCATGTCTGCCTGGCTTTTACATGGGTTTTGAGGATACAAACTTCAGTCCTTCTCTGTGAATTTTAAATGATAACTTACACAGGACTTGAAATAGTTTTAGACTATCTATTGAAAGGAATGGTGTTCTCTCAGTCTGCCTCTGTAAACAATTTGAATAAAGTTTTGTACCTCTTCTTTGTATCTCAGCTACTTCTACTCCACTTAGGTTTGAACTTTTTAGTAACTATTTATTTGTAGAGTGTGTACTTCTGTGTGAGTGCTTGTGTGCCATGGCGTTGGCAGACTGGAGATTGAGAACACTGGCAGGAGTTAGTCCATTCAGCTTGTGAGTGCTGGGAATAAAGCTCAGGTTGTCAGCCTTGTCAATAATTGCCTTCAGCCAACTGGGCACTGCGCTGGCCCTCATATGCACTCAATTTTTAAGTCCCCAAGACTGGGGAAGAAAGCCTCTACAGTATGCCTGATGATGCGCTCTGTCATAGAAGACAGTTCCAAAGCAGAGCTTTGGAAAAAGAAGCTCAGTACTTTATTAGTCTTATATTTTATTACATATTTTACTAAATACTTTATTTAGTCTTATATAATTATTTCAAATCCTAATGCATCATGGTCTTAGCAGTAACGAATAATTGTATTAGTATTACTAAAATTCTCTGAAACTAAAAGTTTGTAATTAAAATTTTGAGATTTTATTTTTAAAAATTTCAAGTAGAAACTTTTATTCTCTTTCAGTTAATCCTACTGACTATATTCCTAATCTAAAACATTATAACAGTAACTCCTAATTGTATATAGTTATCTAGAACAGATTACTTTCGGGGAGTCTGCTCTGTAAACTCAAAACTCTAAAGAGACTCCTACCGTCATGTCATTCTATCCTACCTTTACTGTTTGCAGGGGTCCCAAGCACTACTACAGGTTTGAAGTTAAACTCTTTACAAAAATCTATGTATTTATATGTATGTGTGTGTGTACACATATGTGCGGGTGCCTGCAGGTCAGAAGAGAGCATCAGATGCCCTGAAGCTGAAGTTACAGATGGCTGTGATTGCCAGTGTGCATGCTGGGAACTATGCTCCAGTCCTCTGCAAGAACAGACCATTCTTAACTGCTGAGTCTTCTGTCCAGCACCTGGACCTTCTTTTTTTTTTTTTTTTCCCCCTGACACAGCATTTCTCTATGTAGCTCTGGCTGTCCTGGAACTCACCATGTAGAGCAGATGGCCTCAAAGTCACAGGAGTCCACCTGCCAAGTGCTGGTATTAAAGATGTGGGTTACCTGGCTTGAACTTAAATTCTTTCTTTAAATGTATTTTTATTATTTTGAAAATTATGTAGTGTGTGTGTGTGTGTGTGTGTGTTTGTGTGTGTGCATGTGCACAAGTGAGTACAAATGTCCACAGAGTCCAGAGGCATTGGATGCCCTGGAGCTGGAACTGCAGATGGCTGCGAGACACTGGACAGGGTTCTCGTAACTGTACCTGAGTCCTCTGGAGGAGCAGCAAGTGTTCTTAACTCCAGAGCCATCTTTCCAGCCCCTGAACTTAAATTCTTAATTTGATGGTTTCTTTTCTAATATAAACTTTATTATTTAAAAAAACTTGCAAATAAATAAAAATATCAAGCGCCAAAATTAGCTAGACCTAAAGTCTATACAACTCTGAGTTTCTATACAGTTAGAGTAGGCATTCAAATGTGGAGCTTCACATTGAATTTTACTCAGCATGAAATATTATGCCCTTATCCACCATCCCAAGACAGAACTGTTTTTCTGGGTTTGACTATTTTTTTTCTAAACTTTGGCTCCTCCAAGTCACATGACCACCTAATCTAAAATTCTCACTGTGAGGGGGGATGGCAAGGACTGCCTGGGTCATGTGTGAAAGGGCATCTGAATATCTGCATTGCGCCTGTAATAAGTCTAGTGTTTTTCAGTTACTTCTCCAGGCCACGTAGTTCTCATAACCTTGACAAGTATCACAAGGGCAGACATGGTCAGAAGCTGGTGCAAACATTCACACACATGCGTGCAGAAGCACACCCACACTTCCAGCATGGCTACCTGAGAACAGCGAGGCCAGTGACAGTGAGAGTCCACTCTTTGACATGTGAGTCAGGTTAGAGCCTTCACTACCATCTGTGTAATAATAATTATAAAAAGGGGCCCTTTAGTTTTCTGAAAGAGAGTTGCTGAGACTCACAATTCCATATGGCGTGTCCTTGGGACCAGGCTGTGACTTCTGAGCAGCTTTAAAGAACCCACATGCATGGGAAGGCTTGGAAAACAGTTACTGCTACTTCCCCAAACCAGTCCAGCCTCAAGCACCTCCTAAAAAGGAGCTAATGGCGATGTTAGGAATACCTGGCCATGTTTTTGACTACTGAGTATAAAGTAGGCACTACTGGCAGACAGTGTGTAGAGGCCAGAGATGGTGGCAAAAACCTCAATCTTTAAGGCAGTCCCTCCCAACAAAGAATGAAAGGGGCCTAGAGACTGAGAAATCCTGCTCTATGACTGTTTCCTTTAAGGATTTCTGAACCAACAGGGAATTAGCTGATTACACACATGCTTGGGGCTCACAACTGAAGTAACAGGTTCCAAAAAGAGTCCACTTTGTGAAAATTATGGTTAGAAAGAAAAACCACATACAAACTAAGGAGGGAAATGGAGTTTTAAGTGACTATTATCATTAAATAATTAAGAAGAACACAAAGAAAACTTTCTTAGAGGCCTGGAAAAGTGGTGTAAAATCTGAATTTCTGAGTGGGAAAGAACTCTGGTTACTCAGGGGGTGAAGGAGCAACTTTGAAGAGTAAAATAATAAAATATCTAGTTGTTATTATTTTACAGTGTTATGATGGAGTGCAGACAATTCAGCTCTGTAAGAAAATTATGGTTAGTTTTACCATGGGGAAGAGTTTATGAGCCTGAACTGTTTTGTTTATTTGCTTGCTAGTTTGTTTGCCTCTTTGTTGGGACCTGAAGAAACCTATGGTTTGCAGAGCAGGGCTTTTGCGAAGCACGCTCTTCAAGCATGACGTAGCTACTGCCACCTTGGAATCAGGGCAGCCGATCCCTGGCCAGCCTCAACGAGACCTTCCCGAGACTGAACCTACCAATCTACCCTCATATGAACCGGGGTAGAAGATCATACCCTTGCATGAGAGTTCAGCTACTCATTTTCTCTTGTGGCTCCACCTTTCCCTGCTTGGAGTAATGCTGTACCAGCTGCATGTGGTCTCAGGAGGTTAGCTGAAGGGGGGGACTCCATCTATGCAGCTCTTGCGAGGCTGTCATTCACTGTGTGATATTATTATTTTATTACTGGTGATGCAGCCTGTATATAAACCAATAAATCCTGTGACTCACCAGGTTGGACTTGAGCCTGTTTCCCTGCTGGGGTGATTAGTGATGCCAGAGGAACATTAACCTGCTTGACTAGAATGCCTTCCCACAAGGCAGCCCCTCTCCTCACTACACTTGATTCCAACAGCGAGGCTAGGATTCTGCCTTCAGACTGCTAAGATAGAAATTAAAGCTCTACTTTGTAAACCTGATTGTTTCTCTCTCTCTCTTTTCCTTCTCCTTTAATGATTCTTGTCTTCAATAAAACTCTTCTTTTAAAAAACATTTTGGAAGAATTTCAATTGTGTTGTGGAGCCCAGGGAAACATTCTACTTCATGTGGTTTGGCTCAGCACAAAGCGCTGGAAGGAGGAAAGCGCTTGAGGACCCAAGAGAAAGATACAAACATAAGGACTGAGAAGCAGGGTGACTCCAACAGCCAGCCACCCTCTCCCTGTCAAGGCTCTTGTTGGCGTCAGTTTTAATGGGGTTGGTTTTAGCAAGAGTAGCCATCCCTTCCAATAACTAGCAATGTTCCCGAACGGGCATAATGAAGCACTACTTCAGAGATCACTCAGCCTAACATTCCAGACTGAAAGAAACAGGTGGCAAACACTCCCTTGTACCACATCATGCTCCTTACCGTGGATGTCAAGTTCATCAACATCCTCAGCAGAGCCAGAGTCGGAGAACTGTGTAGAATCACGTGAACTGAACTGGGAGCTGCTGGAGGTGACCCGGAAGCCTGTGACGGTAAAGACCATCATCGTCAGATACGGAATAAAGGGCCTTTCATCCTTCTCAATGCCACAATAAACAACCTAGACTGTAACAGAGGAATGTGCATAGAACCTTGGATGGGACTGGCCCTTCTTGCTGGTTCACTCAACTTTGGAGAAGTCCATCTGTGACCCCTGGCCTGGGAACCCATTTTGGAAGAAAGCTATTTCTGATATAGGAAACAAGAGTTCTAGCAGTATTCCTAGTCTAGCAAGTGAAACAAACCAACCAACAAACCAACAACAAAACAGACCACCACAGTACTACCCAAAGCCCCATAGTACTCCCTGTTGACTGCAGAGGTGCCCTTAGCTTAGCTAACAGCTCTCCTCAAGAGCGGAGGAGAGAGCCCACTGGTCCTGGGCTGTGTGACACTGTGCAGAGGCGCGCACACAGGTGTTCACAGGCCTCACTCACTTCCATCAGTCTCCTGGTACTCGGGGAGCAAGTTTTTGGTGCGGATCTGTTGGCGCCGAAGGCGGATCTTCTGTTTCAGTTCCTGGATCTCTCTGTCGCTGTCTTCCTCCTCTACTTCCTCCTCTTCTAGACACTGGCTCATCATGTTGCACTTCATCAGCTCAATGGCAGCAATCAAGGACTCTGAGATGCTGAAGTGGGCATTCTCCTGGAGGAAGGAGGGCACCAAAGACATTGCTTGTCAGGGGACTAGAACTATGAACACTTTGCTGAGGATGATGTGGGGAAGCAGAGCTTCCAAGACACATGCTTTCCTCAATGAAACCCAGGGGAGATGCATGTGTCTGCTGTAAGGAAAGCAAATAGGCACAGTCTAGAGTCCTAGAGTCTCTTTGCCTTCAGTTATCTCCTCATCTGTTCATTTTCTCCATAAAAATGAGAAGAGAATCTCAGCTGTCAGCCCAAGATCTCAGTGCCAACCTTAGTCCCTGTACTCTGCCCCACACAATGAAAGAAACTATAATTAAGAAAAAAAAAAGTCATCAAACTGCAATTACAGGGCACATTGGTGGGAAAGCAACTGCTTGAAAAAAATGTGGTTCACAGAGCAGCCAGAGCAGATGATGAAAAATGTCAGTTCCTTACAGAGGGTAGGCATAAGACAGTATCTCGGATACCGAGGAGTATTTACACACAAAGGAACCACCTCCACAGCCCCAACATTCAGGTGTCTGGCAGCAGACATTTCCACATTTCCACCATCATTTCTCACCACTGAGAAAATGCAACTGACAACACCACTCTGGCACTTAGAGCAGCTGCAGATGGTCTGACGGGCTGAAGCTATGCCCAGCGCATGATGGGAAACACCACTTGCTCTGGTGATGATGAGACAACTCCAGGCCTTCTAGAGAATTCTGATGACATGGCTTCTAAGCATCAAACAGAATGAACTGAGTCCACTGCTGAAGAAGATAAATTTGAAGTTTTACCAGCTGCTGTTTTCTCTTATGACTGCTTTTAAACATTACTCATGCTGGGCTGACATCACACACCTATGATTTCAGCCCCTAGTGGGCAGAGACAAGAGGATCCTGAGGATTGAGACTAGCCTGGGCAGTACAGTAAAACCCAGCCTCAAAACCAGCAACAAAATGTTGTTTATAGCTGGATCAAGTGTGTGTCTAATAGTTTTAGGCCTATTGGACATGTCAGCTTTTTTCAGATGTTGCTGATAGATAGTTCACTCTTTGCCACTAATTAAGCTGATGAAACCAGGCTAATGAAAGGAGAAAACAAGGCACGAATTCCAAGCAGGGTCTTTTCCCAGAGTCATACACTCATAAACACAGTAGTAAGGTAAATATCATGTCCTGGTGTACAGATGTTATTTACACATATTTAAATGTAGACCTTGGCTAGGCAGTGGTGGCACACACCTTTGATCCCAGGAATCAGGAGACAGAGGCAGGTGGGTATCTGAGTTCGAGGACAGCCTGGTCTACAGAGTGAGTTCAAGAATAGCCAGAGTGACACAGAGAAACCCTGTCTCAGAAAACAAAACAAAACAAAACAAAACAAAACAAAACAAAACTTGATTCTCGTAGAAGTAGTTATGTGAGGTCATAGGACCAAAGAACAATAATCATGTGACTAAAATTCAGTGTTTCTGCACAGAGTAGCACTGGACTAAAGAGGAGCATAAGCTCCCTGAGGTGTTGCCCAGATAGAGCTTGCTTACTGCAGTTCACAGGCACTGCCATGTACTCAGCTCATTAGACGAGGATAGTGGCAGCAGAGACCATTAGGCCAGACGCCCTGCTGAAGTCTCTCTTGATCTGCCCCTTTAACACCTCACCTTTTCCAGGTCTGCACAGCTGCCAAAGTCTTGCTCTGAGAGGTAACTGATGAGGGACTGTCCTTCTGATGGTCTTCTAAACATGCCTTCTCCGGAGCACAGGTACTGACCACCCTCTGTGGGAATTGGAGTGTAGACATAGCATTTCAGACTTGGAAGTAGACCTTGTAACCACCATGCTTCTTCGAGAAGCCTGACGATTGCTACTAAAGGTGCTCTCAACTCTTCCCAGGTAAGGTGGACCAGAACTTGGATAGAAGATGGCTGTCTATCTTCCAATGACAGTACTTCTTGAATGGAGAATGTTGGAATAAATGCTGAGAGCCTAAGGATAATCCTTTTGCTATGTAAATTTATACAAAATAAACTGTCCTTCCTACTCCACTAAAAGGGAGGCGAGAATTAAGTCAGTGCTGAGCGTTGAGAAAGGATGAAAGGAAATGCCTCCACCTGAGAATGATTCCCATGTGCAACTTGTTCTCTGGGAATTACAGAAGAACCGCAGTCAAGGCTCTCACTCGTTCAGGCTATCACATACAGTACAACAGACACTCATGGTGGCACCCAGAGCATAAGAGAGAATGGGGACCCTAAGTCAGGGAGGACCACAGAAGTGGAGTCTTAGCATTGAAGTGACACGAGGACAGGTGGGAGCACACAGGATCCTCCACAGAGAAAGATGAGCTCCACAGCTCAGAGCTCAGCAGGAATAAGGAGTGAGACTTTCAGCCCTTCCCACCCAATGCTCACTCACCATACTCCATGCACAGGGAGCTGGGGATGCTGCTCTGGCCAGAGGAGGAAAGTGGCCTCTCAAATTCAACTTACTGCGAGAGTCTAAGGCCAGCGACCATACCAGCGACCAACAGATATGCTCCCAACCCTTGAATTCAACAGTTAACCCTTTCATTTCCAAAGCCTTCACAAACAGGAAAGAGCTGGCACACCAAGGGTAAACAGGCCAAGAATACAGAGTGCCTGGAGGAGATGAGATGTCAGTGCATCTTAGGGGAAGAAGGCCTGGCAACGGGAAGGTGAAAACAAATCAAATTGGGTTTAGTTCCCCTTCCTTCCAACTTCTAGCCAAATGTACTAAAATAGAGGCTAATCACTAACTTCCTGACAAACTAGCTTTAAAAAGTTTTCAGATAGTAAAATAAAAATAAACACGTTGAAATTTTTCCAGTGCCTTGACACTATGTTTTAAAAGTGTCAGAAAATTTACATTCATCAATGAAAATGAAACTCATAAAAGTGCTTATAAGCAGCATCGAGTCAATCCTGGAGTCGCCAAGGATGAAGGCTTCAAAAGCAGAGGGTTTAGTCACCACAGAAAAGGAGAGAATTCAAGAGAAGAGCTGCTGAGCCTGCTGACACATTCCTGTGATCCTAGCACTTGGAAAGTGAGGGAAAAAGAATCACATGAGTTTTAAGGCCAGGACTGGTTACATAGTGCATTCAAGTCTAGAAAAACCCTGTCTCAAAAACAAGGGATGGGGAGGTTGGCAAAGGGGTCAAAAGGTATGAGAAACTGATACTCAAAACTAAATTTTAAAATGTTAGCCAGGTGGTGGTAGTCCACACCTTTAATCCTAACACTCTGGAGGCAGAGACAGGTAGACTGAGTTCAAGGCCAGCCTGGTCTACATAGTGAATTCCAGGACAGTCAGGGCTACACAGATAAACCCTGTCTCAAAAATCCAAACAAAATGTCTAGTGCCATAGTAAGAAAAGCAGTGGATGCCTGAGACAGGAGCAGCATGCTCTGGGAGAGCAGATGATTATATCATATCCAGCTGTTTCTCTGATAAATAATGCCAAATTGTCAGCTGCTACACACACACACAAAGCAATTTTGTATTCTTCTTATGGCTTGGACTCTGCTTCTGTTTACTGACCTAATGAAAAACCAGCAATTACCATGATACCTTGATAAGAAACAATGGAAGAGACAGTTCATTGCCTACCCAGGTGGCACACCACATAACCTGTAACACCATTATGGTATTCTTCGGCTATGTAAGCCACCAGGGCCTTCGTACTGAGTTCACTAGCTCATAAGGGTGCCCATTCAACTGACTTAGCATTTCCTTTCACTCACTCAAAATCTGTTTTCTCTCAGTTTCTCATCTCCTTAAGGTTCTGCAGACTTTATTCTGTAATTTTCTTTTATTCAAGATAACATGCCAATGTCTTCTCCATTACTAGGAGACTGTGGTTCCTCATCCTCCCTCACCACTGTTTTAGTAACACATACCCACACATTACTAACTCCATCATTACAGTACTCGGAACAGAACACACATCTCAGTTTGAAAACCACCATGAGAGAGAAAAAAGAAAAAAGACAGACTTACTGGAAAAATGTTCAGTGACTAGTATGGGATATGCAGGTACACAAGGGAATGAAGACTTGTGAAAGGGAAAGCAACCAGGGACTCTTGAACAGGCAAAAAACATGCACGTACATCCAAGACCACATAAAAGGAATAAAACATATTCTGGTGTTAAGTCAAGGAAAATAATCTTCAGTAAGTCTTCAGTTCAGAAACACCTGCACTGACCCATGATGAGGCCTTAGTCAAATAGCAGCCTCAGTTTCACCCTTGGACAAAGCAGAGTTGCTTTCTCTTGCCTCTGGCTTCCAGAAGGTGTTGGTAGAATGATTAAGGCATTTGGAAGCATGTTTAGGGCACAACATGTATCAGGTGAGAGAGCAGAATCCTGTTACAGATAGGTCCCAGCACCATGACACGATCAAACTAGCCAGACTTGATTTGACACCAGACTGGAAAGGGAGGTTTTGAACTGAGCGAGGTGGTCACGGAGGAACAGAAGGAAGAAGAGGTGGGGGACTGGCTCCCAAACCTGCAATGGGATCTTCAACTATAATGGTGATATTCCTGGGGCCTCCTGCAGGTAAACAGGTACAGAGGAGAATCCAGACAGAACAAACACGATTAGAGAGGGGACGGGACACCCAAACAAACCCCATGGCTTTTACCTGGCAGCAGTGGTGTCATTAACTCCCCAGAGGGAACATCTGGGCTGAAGGAGGGGCGACTCGGACAAGAAGCTACAAAACCCATGCTCAGACCCTTCTGCACAGGCTTCCTCTGGCTCCCTTTTCCCATGCAGGTTACCATGGTTTCTGGAATCCACACAGATTCAAGAATGGAGCCAGGGAGGCTGGGAATGTCTCTCTGCAGAGCTCTGGCCCAGCAGGAATTAGGCCCTAGGTTCAATCCTTAGACACTTAAAAAAAAAAAAAAAAAAAAAAAAAAAGTGGGATGTGGGGAGCAGCTAAGTTTTCTCTGCTCAAAGGCCAGTCCTCATGCAGAGCAGACACCAGGGTTGCAGAACATGGGACTTGAGGATCCGACCCCATCACTCCACATGCTCAAATAAGTCATGTGAAATTCTTGAGGGAAGACAGAACTATCAAAGTTTGTTATTCAGGTTTTAGTGCAGGCCCTAAGTTTTCATCTTTCTAGAAATTACAGATTGACAAGGGCAGCTCCAGGTGCCAAAGGAAATCTTTATTTTGTCTCATTAAATACTTATTTTATTTTTATATTTTGTATTTGACCCATAATGGCTTTGAGCACAAAAATGAGGGTTAAGCTTACTGCAAAGGAGATTCTACTCCAAATGATACCCAGGCAAAGCCTACAGACACTAATTAGCCAGGGAAGATGTGGCAGCACAATGCAGAGGCAACAACACTCACTTCCCCATCCAGGTTTGCTCCTCCCTCCAGCTAGCATTCTATGAGGGGGGTGGTGGTGCAAATGCCCTTATCTGACTGCTGCAGTCTCGGTTAGTGACAGCAGTCACCCCATCCACTTGGCCCAAGGTCACACCGACCACCCTACTCACTATTAACCCTGTTATAATTAGGAAACTCTAACAGGGCTCTGCTTCAGTATTATATCGTGTCCAAACTCTGAAGGAATCATAAGAGAAGGAATTTAAAAGGATTACCTATAAACCTCTTTAAGACTGCCAAAGTCTGGGATATTCAGTTAAAACTGCAATGTTCATACTGTTCCGATGCTACCCATCATGTAAAGGAAGACACACAACATATGAGGGCTTCCTCAGGACTACATGCTAAATGTCTTTCATGACAGGGCATAGTAACACGCTATCCAGAAATGTTTCTTCTCTCTCTGCCATCTGAAAAGCCTCAGGAGTAAGCCTTCCCTCCAGCCCTGAATTCTGGGGTGAGGGTGGGTGCTGGGGGAACATTGCTAACTAGTAAGCTGGTGTTCATCTTTACCTGAGGCTCCTCTGGAGGCGATGTTGGTATCCGAATGGGAGCGAATATGGCTCTTCTTGGTCCCGTTGGTGACAGGAACTGTCTGCCCTTCTGAGAAGCTGGACCTGCGAAGGACGCTGCCTGTCTGACCCTGCCTACCTGACTCCTGGTCCCCTAGAGAAGAGGCAGCAGAATCTGCCTTTTGAGAGCTGCTGGAGGAGAACAAGTGAGGGCTGCTACTCTCGGCATTGCTGCTGTGACTCTGGCAACTGGCAGTCCGGCCGTGGGGGTCTGGGTTGCCAATGGCCAGGTACTCGGGCCCCTCACTGGCATCACTTGGGGAGTCATTTTGGCTGCTGACCCAGGATGCCTCCATGGGGCTAGTCAGAGTGCTGGAGCTCATCTCCTGGGGGGTCAGTGGGGGGTTCTGGGCCAGAGTCGAGTTTGGAAGCAGTGGAGCTTGGGCTGATTGAGTCTCTGCTGGTGAGAGGGGTTCTCTGTCTTCCGGAGGTTTCCAGGGAGAGCCAGAGAGTGAAAAGGAAGTAGATCTTCTCTCTGGGATAGAAACAAAGGTAAGGGGAGAGAAAGGTGAGCTGGAGGCCCACAGGTAAGGGTGCTCGGGTACACATCACTCAGAAGAGGTCAGTCTAAAGTGGCTTAGAGGCAGCTATGGTGAAGGCATGGGGACATGAGCTGCACTGAGAGGCTTCACTGACTCTCAGCATGAACTCAACTGAAAATGAGAGAAATCATGAGAACATCAACCTCATGGGATCATTTTCAAGATCAAATGAGGTAATACATATAAATTGATTCTAACAGAGCCCAGCATGGTGCAGGCACTCTAAAAATGCTACCAGATAAAGACCTTAGTTGCAACTTGAAGGGAAGCTCAGCTGCCTCTGAGAACACCTTTGCTCTGTTACTCTAATAATGCTACAAAATTATTTCAAGCTAGCTACTAGATAACTTTCTGGGTTTTTTGTTTGTTTGTTTGTTTGTTTGTTTGTTTGGCGAGGCAGGGTCTCACTCTGAAGCCCTGGATAACCCTGAACTTGTAACAACCTTCTTGCTTATGTCTTCTGAGAGCTGGGCTTACACGCCATGCCCTACTACATCAAGCAGCCGCTGCCATGCGTCTTTTTACAATGCCTATTATAAAGACATGAGGCTTGAGGATTTATGCCAGCCCAAGCCCCAGGTCCCAGCCTGCGTCACTCTCAAAGGCTCCCTGCTTTCCAGATACATGAAGATATATATAAGGACTGCCCATTTCCACCCCTATACCTAGCCCCACATTTAAGGTCAGCTTGTGCTACCTAGTAAAACTCTACCTAAGTAAACAGAACAGAACAAAATGAAGAAGTGAATGAAGGAGAGAGAGAGAGAGAGGAAGAAAGAAAGGAAGGAAGGAAGGAAGGAAGGAAGGAAGAGAAGGAAAGAAAGAAAGAAAAAGAGAGAGAGACAGAAAGAGAAAGAGTGACTTTTGTTTTTGCTTTTTAAAGCAGGTTCTGGCCCACGAGCACTCACAGAGGGCCTCTATTTCCCAGGCTAAAATGCATGCAAGTAATTACACATTATCCCCACACCTGAGCTGTGGTTGGGCATGGATTGGTGAAGGCTGGAGGAGGACCCAAAGTAGGAACGCTGAGCACAGCTGGTTGGAGGGGTGTATGTGGAACCAGGCAGGGCTGTCAGGCTCTGGCTCTTTGCAGCCAGCAGCGGGCTCTCGTGCTTTCTGGCAAACTAAAACAAAAGAAACCATGTCAGAGTGAAGCACAGAGGCCCTCGGAGAAGGGGCATTCGTTACTGCAGGAATGCTGACAGAAGCTAGTCTTCGGTGATACACCTGGACCACACTACCATAGCATACAACACTAGAACTGTGAAGGGCCACCGCACTCCACACCTCCTGCACTGGAATCCTAGGGTATTTTCTCCTGGGAGCAGTGCAACAAAGAACTGGAGACTGGAAGCTGACTTAGTTAATCCTCATGAGGAAGACATTAATCTCTTTATAAAGAAAGTCTAATTGGGGGTTGATGTTATGTGTCTGTTCTTACTGTAGCTTGTTATGCCGAGTTTGATTGATGTCCCTGGGAGGCCTGCTCTCTTCTGAGGGGAGGGAGGCAGATTTGAGTGAGGGGGAGATGGGGTTGGGGAGAGACTGGAGGGATGGGAAACTGAAGTCGGAATGTAATATATGAGAGAAGAATAATTTTTAAAAACTAGAAAAGAAAGCAAGCAAGCCATGGGGAGCAAGCTACCAAGTACTGTCCCTGCCATGGCCTCTGCATCAGTTCCTGCCTCTACATTCCCGCGCTGAGTTCCTGTCTCAATGGACTCAGGCTCAGGATATGTAAACCAAATAATCTCTTTCCTCCCCAAGTCTCTTTAGGTCAAGATGTTTTATTACAGCAACTAAGACAGCTAAGATAGCAGACTAAGATAACAGTCACATACCACCAAACCCAGCTCTTTGCAAGCATTTAAAAGAAATATGTCTTTCAGCTTACAACCGCCTCAGTGAGGAAGTCACTAGCTACTGAGGAGTACACATTATGGTGAAGTGTAGAGGCCCAGGACAGATGCGGGGAATTCTTTGTCCCCCTTTACCATAGACGCATCAATCTGAGCCAGGAGACGGGGGTTGTTCTGTTCCACTGCTTCCAGGCACTGAAGCATGGCTGTGACGTGGGCATCACTTAGCAGGAAAGCAGATTCTAGGAAGAAAAAAGGTAGCTTAGTGACAAAGAGAGACACTCAGAGAAAGAGGCAAAATAAAGAAGAATTGAGGAAAACCATGCCACTGTGGAGAGAAGGGATTTGGGCACAAGTACTGGAAAAGCTAAGTTGCAGTCTAACATAGGAAGTCTCAAAATCAGAAAGGTCCAGAATAAGATCTTGGCTCTGTGTGACTCTGGCCAAGTTATCTAGCCTCTCTGATTAGAAAGCAGGGATCCTCCTGCCCAGTTCTTCTAACAGAGACCGGCACATAGAAAGTTCACTTCATGGCATTTCTTCTAACAGTCTGCGTGGACTAGTACAGGATCAACTTAGCATGTGTGTTTTTCAAGGGACGTGAGAAGAAGCCTGGCTATGTGTTCATGAGCAGAATCTACAGCATCGAGTAAAAATCAGGAGACCCTGGCTTTAGAAGTAATCTACAGAGGACCCGAGAGATGGAAGACAACAAGGAAGCACACGCAGAGCCCTGAGTGGCCTCTGCTTACCTGTGTAGAATTTCCTGATATACTGTCTATCCCCAAGCAGAGGCCGGAGCTGGGCTGAGAGGCAGTGGCACTGCAGGCTGTGCTGCAGCCACAGCTCCGCGATAGCACGCTCGCTTACACCATCAGCATCTCTCTGGCCATTCTCATGCAAGTTGATGAACTGGAGAGGCAAAGAGGCATGAATCAAAAGCACAGATCCTGGCAGACACAGCTTAGCTAAGGTCCAGTGACCTAAGAGCTAGCTACACTCAACACAGGTAAGGGAAGGCTACCAGAGCTATTTCCAGGACAGTGAAGGGGTGAACAGCTTTTCTACTCTACCAGACCCCAGGTGAGGGGCTAAGCAGTTAAGCCCTGGGATGTAAATCCCAGGAGAAGCGAGGCTGCTACATTTGGCTTTTTATGCTCTATCTCCAAAGAGGTGCCTGCTCTAGGATATTCGCAGGAAGGACTCAAAGGGATGTGACCTCTTGGCTTCTCTCACAGAGTCCTCTATTTCAGATAGGCTCCAGAGAGAAATGTGGTAAAAATCTTCACATGTGTATATGTGGATGGGTGGACCTAGAAAAAAAAAAAAAACCCACCAAAGATTTACTGTAATTTTTTTTTCAGTTTTCTTTTCATGTGTATGAGTGTTTTGTCTGAATATATGTTGTGTACTCATTGATATATTGCCTGCAGAGGTCAGGAAAGGTCATCATATCCCTGGGGAATGGAGTTACAAATGGTTGTGAGTCACCGTGTGGGAGTTGGGAACTGAACCTCTGGAAGAACAATAAGTACTCACAACCAATAAGCCATTTCTCCAGCCTCAGGATTCTCTTAAGAGAAGCCATCTGAACACCACTTTTTGGTTCTAGTCCTAACAACCTCTCCTTGGAACCTCCTCCTCTTCCTTCAGTGTTTCTAAGAACAAGGTCACATAGCCAGGATAGACACCACAGAATGCATCAACAGCAGAGTCAGAAGTTCCTTAGGGGAGATGGCTACAGCACCACATCATCGGAGTGGCACACCAGTTAACTGAAGGACAGCCTGGGCGACCTAGTGAAACTACCTCAGCAGATAGAACAGAATGAACAAGTGAAAAGATGAGAAGTAAAAGAAAATAGCAACAGCTGGGTGTGGCAGCGCACACCTGTAATCCCAGCACTCTGGAGGCAGAGGCAGGAGGATCTCTTTGAGTTTGAGGCCAGCATGGTACAAAGTGAGTCCAGGAAAGCCCAAGCTACACAGAGAAACCCTGTCCCAAAAAACAAAACAAATAAACAAAACAAAAAAGAAAATAGAAGGTTCTGGCCTTTTTGCATACACAGAAGGCCAGTATGAAACCCTGAGGCTTTGTTCTCTGAATATTTAGACAAAAAAGTATACTTCCTGACCTCATCTTAGCAATAAATCCAACGACTGGGACGTACGTGAAACAAGACAGGCTACACAGAAAGAAATAAAGAGGGACAATGATGAATATTTTAGAGTCGTTTCATTAATCTAACTTAGATGTGCTTAAATTTTTCCATAATAAAAAGTTAAGTGCATACATAAAATTGTCAGTGATTATTCTAGAACCAGCTGTGTAACCCTATCAGGTCACCTAACTTTGTTGAACTGTTTTCCTGACTGGAAATGTGGAGCAGCATGTGGCGCTGGAGACAGGAGAGCCCAGAGCAAGGCATTACTCTTAAGGCGACATTCAGGGCACTCAACTCTGGACTCCCAAACCACGTTCCTTCTGCCTGAAGAACCTTCTGCAGTAGTTACTGTATCAGCCACACTACTCCTACTTAACTGTAGGGAAATTCTTGCCATTTGTCCTGAATTTTATTTTATTTTGGTTTTTCAAGACAGGGTCTCTCTTTCTGTATTCTTGTCCTGGAACTTGCTCTATAGACCAGGCTGGTCTCAAACTCACAGAGTGCTGACATTACTGTGTGTACCACCACACCCAGTTGATTTAGAGAGAGAAGGAGAGAGACAGAGACTCATTAAACCCTTTTCACCCCTTTCTCAGGAGGTGAGAATGCAGCCTGGAATAATGAGCATGTCAGGTTGGTAGGCTCGTAGGTTAACCCTCCCCTCTAAGTCAGTGCTACAGAGATCATTTCTATCCCCCATTTAAAAGGAAACTGGACATTTTCCATTTCAGGGAGAAAGACTCTTCCAACAGAGCACCAGTGAAGACTTGCAGCTGCACTCCTTTCTTTCTTTTTTTTAAGTTTAGTTATTATTTATATGGTATTCTGCCTGCACACCAGAAGAGGGCACCAGATCTAACTATAGATGGTTATAAGCCACCATGTGGTTGCTGGGAATTGAACTCAGGACCTTTGGAAGAACAGCTGGTATTCTTAACCTCTGAGGCATCTCTCCAGAGCCCCCCCCCCCCCCCCCGCCCAGCTCTCCTTTCATTCTTACCTTCTCAACATGAAAGGCTGAGTGTGGACTGAGCCACCGAATGTCTTTCACAAACTGCCAGTAATCAGCCTGGCGGCAACACACCTGCCAAACAAACAACAACATGAGCAGATCACTAACCGCCCAGACACAGAGAGAGAGGGAGAGAGAGAGAGGGAGAGACTGCCTGACAGGTGGAGGCAGAAGATCAAGGCCAGCCGGAGCTAACCAGTGAGACCTTATCTTTAAAACAAGAAAACAAATCAGAGGGGCGGGAAGGAGGGAATGAGCAGATCCTTCTGCTTTAACAGTCGCTGCCAGCAGCAATCAAAGGAACATATGCCTTCATGCTTTAACAATTATTTTAAATGTTTTTGTGTGTGCGGGAGCACATGTGTACGGAAGCCAGAGACGGGGCGTGGGTGAAGTTCCTCACAAGTGCCTCCCTCCTGGTTTTTGAGACAGTCTCTTGTGGAACCTGCTCAGTAGGCTGACTGGCTGGCCAGTGAATCCAAGGAGCTGCCTGTTCTCTCCTGGAGCAGCACTGGATTACAGTGAGTGCCGCCTCACACTGAGTCTGGGGATTGGAATGGGGTCCCCACGCTTGTGTGGAAGCCCTTCACTGAGTCCTCTACTGTCTTTCTGAATCAACAATGAATGGCACTGTTTAAATCATTGATAAAATGTGTGAGCTCAGGACCAGATGGCTCCACTGATAAATTTTCAAACTTCTAAAAAAAAACAACAGCAAACCCCAAAAACCTGTGATATAAAAGGCAGACACAGACAAAACAAAATAAAACAAAAAAACTGTTGGTCAAAATCCCCAATAAACATAAACACAAAGCTTCTCAGCATAACACTAACAAAATGAATCTGCAAGCACATGAAAACGACTGCATGCCAGCCAACAAGTGGGCAAAGGTGCCTGCCATCAAGCCTGCCCACCTGACTTTGATTCCCAGAACCAACATGGTAGAGAGAGCAAACCAACTCTGACTGCATGACCCCCACAACAAGTGAACAAATAAACGTAAAACACTTTTTACAAAGACTATATGATCCACAAGCTACCCTTACACCTAAGGCTCAGGACAGCAGAATGGAGGAGAGGTCAGGAAGATTATAGGAGCCAGAGGACTAAGATGTCTGCCGTGAGACAGAGACATCTATACATGACAGGGAAGCTGCGCCATGAGATCTAAACAAGACCCGCACAATGACAACATCGATTGAAATGGCAAAGTGGAGGGCAAATGTTCACACGGCCCTACCCTGAGAAGAAAAGCTAGAGATAATCAATACCTTAAGGAGGGCAAATCGGTCTTCTCTGGAGACATTAGCATTTTGTAATCACTATTTTACACTTTACCCTTTTCACCTAACATATCTTATAATTCCTCCCAAATCATAACTTAATACGGCGTGTGTGTGTGTGTGTGTGTGTGTGTGTGTGTGTGTGTGTGAGCATGTGCTCAAATTATGCCACAGTGTACATGTGAGGTCAGAGGATAACTGGTGGGAGTTGATTTTCTGCTTCTACCAAGTTTGTCCCCCAGGTGCTTGCTTGACAGAAGCACTTTTTTCTCACTGAGGTATCTTGTTGGCCCACTGGTTGTTTTTGTAAATTTTATGTGTGTGTGTGTGTGTGTGTACATATTTAATATAAAGACCAAGAGCTGAGCATGATGGCCCATGCCTGTAAATGTAGCATACAGGAGACAGAGACAGGAGGATCTCAAGTTGGAAGTTAGGTTGAGCTACATAGCAAGACCCTGTCTCAAACATACAAAACAAAACCAAAAATGAGGACAAATAACAAGAAGTTATTTGTATTACTTTCATAAGTGTACACTCTCTGGAAGGAAGTTAGTAAAAAGTAGTAACTTCTATGATCAGAAGATAATGAAAGACAGACTTTTCACTATATGGTTTTATATTCTTAAATTTTTCAGCCATGTAACCATGTAAAATGTATTATCTACTAAACAATTAAACATTTTTTAATAAAAAGAAGATTTACTTATTTTATGTATATGAGTGTTCTACTGCATTTACATCTGCCAGAAGAGGGAATAAGTTCACATTATAGATGGTTTTGAGACACCATGTGGTTGCCAGGAATTGAACTCAGAACCTTTGGAAGAGCAGACAGTGCTCTTAACCCCTGAGCCATCTCTCCAGCCCCAAAATTAAACATTTTAAAGTAAGTTACCAAGTGACAAATATGGTACAATATTATTAGCTTTTTTAAAAGGCATAAAATACCTTTTAAATATAAGAATTTAAATATAAAAAATATATAAAAAAGAACGCCTAACAGAATGCTAAACAGTGATATTATTACTTGGTTTAAGATTACAGATGAGATTTTTTTTTTCGGAGTCTTTTAGGCATATGTCAAAGTTTCAACAAGTAAGGAATATATTACCAGCTGGGTGCACTTGGGAGGCAGAGGCTGGCAGATCTCAGAGTTCAAGGCCAACCTAGTCTAGAGAATGAGTTCCAGGACAGCCTGGCTACACAGAGAAACCCTGTCTGGAAAAAACAAATCAGGCTACCTTGGGGCTGGAGAGATTCTGTGAGGTTAAGAGCGCAGGCTGCTCTTGTAGAGGACAGTCCCAGCACCCACATGTGGCTCACTACTGCCTGTAATCGCAGTTCCCAGCGCATCCACTGCCCTCTCTTGGCTTCCATGGGCACCAGGCACACACACAGTACACATACACACATGTAGACAAGAGATAAAAAAAAAAAAATCACTAAACATTTCTTATCAGGCCATCTACATTGTTAAGCAGTTTCTTCTTGGTGCTAGGAAAGGTGATCCTTTCACTTCTACTGAATCATCTCTGGAACCGTTGCCATATTTCTTTCTTTTTTTTTTTTTTAACTATTTTTTAAATGACTTTTTTGATTTTTTTAATAACTTATTTAATTTTTATTTTATGTGCATTAGTGTGAAGGTGTCAGATCCCTTGGAATTGGGGTTATAGACAGTTGTGAGCTGCCATGTGGTTGCTGGGAATTGAACCCAGGTCCTTTGGAAGAGCAGGCAGTACTCTTGACCACAGAGCCATCTCTCCAGCCCTGTTTCCACATTTCTAAGCAGCAGAACAAAGAAGTTATCAATATTCGTTGCCTTACAAGAGGAGTAAAAGGTGTTCCAGATGCAGGCTGACAAAAATGAGATTCCTCTAAGAACACAGTCATGAGGTTACAGCTGCCCAGGGGCCCTGAGTGATTAAGACAAAACACAGCTCACATCCACAACACATCCTCTTGAAAACAAAGAGGAGATATGCCGGGCAGGGGTCATTGTGTCCCTTCCCCTTTCCAAGGACACAGCATCCAGAATAGCTTCCTGATGACACTGCAGCCTGAAACCTTTGAAAGCACTAAACTTTTGAAAGGAAGTGACAGGGGAAAAACAAGTCTGTCACCGACTTTAATTTGGAGCAAGGCACAGGGCAGCAATAAAACTGACCTGGGGCTTTTGTTTGAGGATTTTTCGTACTGGGGCCTCTGTACCACGCACCTCCATGTGCTTTCTGTGTGTCTGTGTGTCGGTTGGCTTTCTCTGCTTCCACTCACCGATGCTAGTAGTGCTTTAGTAATGTTGTCATTCTGTTTCCTTGGGTGCTCTCATAGAAGGACAGCTTCCATGCTATTGCTTTTTAAGAACTCTGACAAGATATGTTAATAGCAAGCTTGTTTTATTTGAGAATCTCAGGAGCATTTCTCCCTTTGTGGTTCAGATGGTAAAACTATCATGTAATCTGGTTAGGTTACTATGTGACAATGTAAAATTAGTAATAGAGCCAAGAAAAGAACTTTTGTTATCAAGACACAAGTACTTTAACCACTGAATGGCAGCCCCACTAATCTGGTAGCTATTTTGGTCACCAGCCTGGGAAATTTGCACTTTGTTTTTAACAAAACATTTTGGCATGAATCCCAAATTTCTGAATGGAACACGGGGTAATTCAATGCTACAAATTAGCATAAAGAACACCACGATGAAAGGCAATCTCCTGGGAGAGAACATATTTAGTCTTGGCTGTGCTTGCTGGGTAGGACAGACAGCCAAATGATAACACAGAGGAGGCAGCTGGTCTAGATCTAGAACTCAGCACTGAGATCTGAGCTGAGTGTCACAGATGCATGGGTGAGACAGACTGCTCCAAGAAAATGAGAAAGGAGTCAAAAGTACACAAAACGACTCCATTCTTGAAAATCTTGAGGGGCAAGGGAGATGAAGGTACTTGCCAAGTCTAATGCCCTGAGTTTAACCCCTAGGACCCACATGGTGGAAGGAGACAACTGACTCCTGCAAATTGTCCTCTGACCTTCACTACATGTACCCTCCCAAAATAAATAACTGTAATTTAAAAATCTTTAATGCAAGAAGCAATTCCAGGGAGAGAAACCGAAGCCTGGTCACAGACGCTGGGCCATGCTTCTGTGACGTTAGAAGATAGTATCACACAAATCAAGATAGGACAGTAGTCAGCACTACTGCATTTACGCAGTCAAAGGAGAAATGGTCCTTGAATTTGCTAAGAAGGGTGTCATTTTCTTTTTTGTCTTTTTTTATTTGTTTTTCAATACACACACACACACACACACACACACACACACACACACACACACACA